TGAAGACTTCTGGAAAAAAATTCTTACTTTATGTCTTACATCAAAACAAGATTTCAAATGGTTCTAATATTTTAATGGGAATAAATAAATTCATGGTTTTCTAGTTTTGAGTAGAGAATGCCCTTTCTGTGTACAAACCACTCAGACTTCATATAATAAAAGCATCATATGTTTTAATAGGTAAAAGTTAAAAATGTCTCCATTGCCGAAAAATAGTAACAGTGAATGCATAATGTGAAATAATGTGTATAGAACAAGCTGAGACAAATATATGCTACATATGTACAATCTTGAAAGACAAACTGTTTACTCCCCTCCCCCCGCCCCCCTCTCACACACACACACACACACACACACACACACACACACACACCCTTGCAGATTTCTCTTAGCTACAACCTCACGCAGTCGCCGCTGACCGGGGCATGACCGCAGACAGCCTGGAGAAGGAGGGGTGAGGCCTGTGGCCGGGCAGAAAAGTGGTTGACTCATCCGTTTAGCAACAGGCTGCGAGGTCTTCTAGGATCTGGGAGGTCGGGGGATTAGAGGGAAGAGACTGTTTTGTGATTTTGGTCGTGTACCATCTAATTTGGGAGAGAGAGGTGCTCACAGGACATGACTTAAGAATTAAATACAGACAACGTAGCAGGGTTCCAGCGAGGTAAAGGCAGTCCAGCTCGCAGAACCGTAATTAGCGTGCTTTCCTTCGCTGGCCGCTGCCCTTCCAGGAGAACGACGAGGAGAAAAGAGCACGGGAGAGCCAAGCTGGAGAGTCGGGGTGGAGAAGGCAGAGGGGGGACTGCACAGCCCTGGCCCCTGCCCCCGGCTTGTCCCTCCCCCTGGCTGGCCTATGGGCTCCCCCTGCCACTCCTGCTGGCTCCCTCTCCCCCTTGTTTACATGTCCCTCCACTCAGGCCTCTGCTCCGAAACCATCCCGGGCGCCCCTGGGTCAGCAGCCTGCGCCATGGCCCTCGGTCCCACTCCTTCCAGCTGCTGTGTTGCTCTCAGGCTGTTCACCAGCTGGCACCGGTGTGTCTGCTGCCCGTGGCCCCCGCTCTGGAAAGTGACCCCCGGGAGCAGCACCCCTGCTTCCCGCTGTGGCCTTGGGCCTGGAAGAGGGCCCGCCCGCACGCAGTGAGCAGGGTCACTGGGCCAGCGGGTGCACACGCTCCATGGCTTCTCCACGTCCTCCAGCCGGGATGCCTGCCTCTGCTCTGTGCCCGGGCTCTACCTGTCACAGCCCCTGCCGGACGCTCCGTCCCAGAGCCTGTGAGAGGACGAATAAACCCCACCCTCGTGGCCAGTGCCGTGGGGCCTGGCGAGAGCCCCTCCCCAAAGTAAGAATCAACCCTCTTATTATATTTTGTTTATTAAGGCAAAAAAAACACCAACAAAACACCACAACCACTCTTCTATCTGAGAAAGGTTTCTCCAGGGACGACGCGGAGGGGCTTTGCTGGGCCCGCGTGGGCCCTGAAATCCAGCCAGCCTGTGCTGTGCCTTTAAAAACCTTTTTTTATTTTATTGATTTCATAGAGAGGGAGGGAGAGGGAAAAGAGAGATGGAAACATCAATTATGAGGGCTGCCTCCTGCACGCTCCCCACTAGGGATCAAGCCCGCAACCCGGGCATGTGCCCTGACCAGGAATCAGACATTGACCTCCTGGTTCATAGGTCCACGCTCCACCACTGAGCCACACCGGCCAGGCTGTGCAATGCCTATTGAACATTCTGACGTAGCCCAGATGAAAGCCCATCGGAAAAAAACAACGAAGCTCACTTTCCTTAAAGCAGGGACGTGAAATAAGGCATACAAAGGAGCGCTAAACACGGCTGTGGTACCCCACGGAGCAGAGGGGCGCTCCTGCGGTGCGAAGGAAGTGTTGGGCTGTAAGGCTCTGAGCGTCCAGAAACCTGTGGCTGATTTCACGGACTGGCGTGGGCCCTGGTCCCCAGTGCTCCGCAGGAGTTGACGGGCATGACCTGCTGCTGGGACCAGGCCTCCGGGGCCAGGGGACAGAGCAGGAGAGTGGGACTGAGCTTGGAGTGGGCAGGAGACAAGGGTGTGGACAGCAGCCGGGGCCGCAGGGTCCCACGGAGGCCGGATTGCGGAGGTGACCCGAGGACTGGAGCGTGGGGCATGCCTGTGGGAGGGGCGGCAGCCAGGATGCTGGGGTTCAGAGCCCCCACACTGCAATGGCCCTCTTCCGCAGGCCCATTCCAGACAGAGCCTAGTCACACAGACTCATCTGTGCTCAGCTGTGCCAGCTCAGGCATGGAGGGGGGGGCAGGTAGAGGGGAGGCAGGTGGAGGGGAAGCAGGTGGAGGGGAGGCAGGTGGAGGGGAGGCAGA